TTAAGCACGTTAAAACATTCGCATCCATCCAATTTTTATTTGTTATACAAACTCTCGCCTTCGCCGGACTCTATAGTTTGTATGTCAGATAAAGATCGACTGTTCATGTTGAATTAACCTACATAGAAATGTTACGCTCAATTTAATATCGAAAATTTGGTGTGAATGTTCAGATGATGATTTATACAGCTATTTCGGTTAAGGTTGTCCACGAGCAAAGCGGAAAAGTCGAATACGAGCGCGAAAGGCTGCTGGGAATCGCTTTGAAAATTCATTAATTTGTTAACGATTCTCAGCAGACTTTCGCGCTCGTATTCGACTTTTTCGCTTTGCTCGTGGTAAAACTACCCGGTTGAAATTGTTATAAAAAAATTTCCAAGGAAAATACTTAATCTTTCGCTCACCGCCGTGAAACTCTTGCACTCTAGGAAAGCTGTAACAACATATGCAGTCATTGTTATGTCGCTATTGATGTCACCCTAAGACATTTGAAAAAATAAATACGAAAATAAGTTACAAATAATATACAAGGTAATGTATAAAATCATGAAATCAAAACCGTCAAACCAAGTAATTCCATACCAAATATTATACTACACCATACCATACAATGCTACACCATACTATACATACCATACCATACCATACCATACCATACCATACCATACCATACCATACTATACATACCATACCATACCATACCATACCATACCATACTATACATACCATACCATACCATACCATACCATACTATACATACCATACCATACCATACCATACCATACCATACCATACCCATGCCATATTAGTACTACACAAGACCCAGAAACCAAACTTACATCCATTCCTTTATTTGAAACAGGATTACTCTCTGGTATGGCACCATCAGCGCGCTGGCGTGAAGCCAACCAATTTATTGCAGTGTTGATAACATTCTGATCAATATCAACCCCATCAAGTTTCTGAATCGCACAGAATGTCTTGATTACAAACGCTGTCAGCCTAATAACGAGAAGAAAAAAGTTAATTCTAGTCCACTGAGTACATTAATACTTTTAGGAATAAAACATAAAACTAATTTAGATAACATACATACGACATGAGTTTGACAACTACAAGGGGGAATTTTGAAAATCAGGTGTCCCAGATTGGCTAAAAACGTATTGGTCATACAACACTTGTCTATAGTCTATCAATTTATAGACTATTAATGCACAATTAAGATAGATGCACTTATAATTGCATTTCTGCAGATCTTTCTAATGGATGTACTTACCAAGTGCTACCAGGTGCCCCGTTTCCCCACACACTGAATGAGTGATCACTTCTACGATAGTTCAACTCATGCTGATAACCTGAAATGCAACACATGCATGCAGAATAAAATCGTATTCCTGTCACGAGTTACAAACACTGTCTTCAAACAAAACATTCACAGGCGTACGGGACAATTGCAATTTACAAGTAATATCATGGTAGTGAGGTGTATTAAGGCAGATTTGAGCACTTTCATCCAATCACAATGCTAAACCTACCTCCTCCGCAGGCGCTTAGGGAGCATTTCGGGCAGGTTCGGAAAATGCGGGTCACAGGCGAGAGCGCCTGCCGAGTAATGTTTTCAAGATGGCGGGTGCTATAAATCGAAATTTTCATTTTGACTTTACTAATTACTAT